ATGTGCTAGTATATGATGATGTGTTGTTATTGAATGAGGATTGTGAAAATTGTGTTATATATTTGCGAATTGGAAATCAAAGTGATTGCCGTCACTTTGAAAAATTGTCGAACTGAATATATGTGGTTCGTTTCGTGGAAATCCTGGAGTTATAGGTACATGGAGTTGTCCTTGATCTTTTAGTTTTGGTTTGAAGTTGTTTCGAGTTGTATTTTGGGAGTTATGATTTTTCTAAACCGAGCATGCTGCTGAATTGTAATAAATTCACCATAAATTGAGTTGTTATCCGTTTGAGCTGAATTTTTTATATGTTGTGCCTCTGAGTATGTGGAATATGTGTGCCAAGCTCCTGAATTTATTTTTGAGTTTTTTGAGTTCAAATGCTTATAACGGTTTCTTAGCAGAAACTTGTAAAATTTGTTAAAATTCGTACACTTGGAGTTTTGAGCTGAAACTTTCAGGAACCTGTTATTTTATGATGGTTTAGGTTGTGTAAAAATTTCAGACTGAAACTCGAAGTGTAGCTATACGAACTATTATATGCCGGTTTTGACGCTGTTTTGCTTAAAATTATTTAAACATGTTCCCGGATGAATTTAGGGCTGAAACTTGGTGAATTTATGTGTTTTTATGTGCTTTATAATGTGGTAAAGTTTCAGGTTGATTGGATGAGTCTAGCTTTCGTTTCTGAATTTTGTTTATTTTGAAGTATAAATCTTCGGTTATCGGTTGGTTAGGTTTGAATAGGATTTATTTAATGTTGGCATGTTTTATGTGAAATATTTGAGGTATATGAGTTGTGTCCAGGTCTAGTAGTCACTCCAAAGTACTTAACTCGGTCAAGGAATCCACGAGTCGCTTAGTCGATATGATTTCGACTAAGTATATGTGCCTTGTGTGGTATTGTATATTGGATAGTCAGTGATAGACTATTATAACTGTTGTTAGGTTCGTCGAGCTGAACTTGTGCCATAATTCCTTCAACTCTGTGTTTGGCTATACCTCTTGCTTATATCCAGGTGGGTTGTTATTCTAAAATTGTCTATGCAATAAATTGTTTACCTTACTTGTGATGAACAATGTATGATTACGAATCATGTAGCCTTCGATGTGAGTTATATCGGCCGTCGAACGGTTGTCCCGTATTTATGAAATGAAAACCCGAGGGGTTACTCCTACTGACTGGGCATCGATAGAAGCCCATGGGGCATTCGATGTGTAAGACCGGAGGGCATAGACGTAAAGCCCATGGGGCGTTCGATAGAAGCCCGTGGGGCATTCGAAGCGTCTACCGGCAGTAGTCTATTGGTATAGATGTGCACATGAGTCTGAACACTATGAATTTATGTTGAAACTTGGGTTACTTAATTGATTCTTATTCATGCCGAGATCATACTGTTGATTTGTTTGATTAACATTTACTGCATAGTGGTGAGCACTACTTTTTCCAACTGTGCTCATCCCCACCTGAAATTCACGTTTCAGGTTAAGCAAGGCGGGTGCGACGGCGGAGTCAAGCGAGTGGTGGTCAGTCTATCAGACTGGCCCTATTATTGTTTATGCTTCCGCATTTATGAATTTCTGGATTTTATGATTGAAAAATGATAAGGAGATGCTCCTTAAGACTTATGAATACTGTTTGGAGCCCGATTTGGGTAATATTGAATATTGCATTATTGATTATTGCATTATTGATGACTGATGATGGATTGGGTATTGAAAAATTAGATAAGTATTGAAATTTCTTTTGAAAAATGAGTAGCGCCTAAAGTGTATTGAAATAAATTTGAAAAATTTACTCTGATTTTCTGCAAATAAAAGTGGGGCGTTACAGGATGGATGTACATTTTTTCTACACAAATAATTAAATCTTTTTGGTCAACCCCCGGACGAATAATTATTACAAATATTCATCCATCAGTTCCTCAACATATCCGAGGCTTTAAAAAAGAATTTAAGACTATACATCAAATTCAACAACATCCATAAAACACATAGTCGGCCATAATAGTGGATTAACTAATTCCTGCAAAACCGAGTTATGCATATATAATCCAATATACATGGCTGCGTTTGAACACATCTTGTCAAATAAAGCCGTAAAAATTCAAACTTTGTACAAAATGAATTAAACAAGTGCTCTGATACCACTTGTTGGGATCTGTGAGGATGTCGTTACGTACAAACCACGAATTCAATACCAAACGTAAACCTATGCACAACGGATCTAAAGGTTTGACGTAGAAAACTTACGGCTTAAAATTTTCTGAATTAGTCAGATTCGGGATGACTGGGACTGGCACACAAACAGGTGGATCACACGAACGGAAGTTGATCGGCTCGTGTCATGGGTCGGGGCGGTTTGTCAGCTCCTTGTGGAAGATCAATGGGTCTCGATTATCCATGGATTTTCTACTGTATTACTCAAACACCTTTTTTCAACTTGTACTAGTGGAGCAACAAGAAGAAGAAAAAGCTCGAATGAAAACTAAGAGAGAAGGAGAGAGGGGCGGGCGTGAATGTCGTATATTATGACAGATTGGTTCTCTTTTTATGAGCTTAATGATGTATATATAGAGCTACAGTAGGGACCCATAGGAGATTAGAAATAGGGCTCCTTAATTAATTAGACTAACTATGGCCAAACCCACTCCTTTTCCTAGCCCAAATTACATTTGAGACTCTAATTAATTAAATAATATTATGTGCCACCAACATAAATATCATTGATCTCCCTTTTCCTAGCCCAAATTACATTTGAGACTCTAATTATAATTACTCGATTTACTTCCGCACGTTTAAGATTTAATGTCCATAATTAATTCGATTACTGATAATCAAGAATTAATTAATTTATTACTATTTCACTGAAGCTAGCGCTCGTTCATCACATTCTTATTATGCCGGAACTTAATCTACCTGCAGGGTTTAGCATAACAATCGTTAATGAACTCACTCCATGGACATCATCAAACTAATGCACATGGTGACCGTAAATATCCTAACAACATTTATTATATATAATAATATTACCCAAAATAGTAGAATATTATTCCAGCCAACTGAACCTCACCCAAGTGAATCAAAGTAATAAGTACTACATATATATGCCTGTTTAATATCTTACGGGTTAAGAGAACGGTGTAATTAACCGAGGCCTAGTTCGTTTACGACGATCAGTATAAAACGAACTTCTCCTCTCTGGGATCCTGTTCAATACATAAATGTACTAATGCAACGAATCAGTCAAGACAAACTGTACAGTTGACACTACAACCATTCGGATGGGGTGTTCATGTCCATCTAGGTTGTGAACTACAATTCTTGTTTCATAAATGACTGATAGAGTGATCTTCGGTTCGCCCGATGACGACCCACTCTATCTAAGTGAAAAACAATAGAACATAGAACTTGTTTAATCTAACATGATTCTCATTCATAAGGTGAAAAAAGTGTAATAATATGCAAATCCTAGATTTCTGTATATAACACTAACAAAACCTTCCTCGAATCCTACTGGCAGGAGGTGGTGGAGGACTTTTGCCAGTTGCCTTAATTCCTTCATATGGTTGTGTCTGTTGACCTGGAATTTATGTAGATCTCAATCAATGAGGTGTACGCCCAGGCCGTAGCTCAAGGGTGCACTGGTGAGGTCGATATAGAGACACTTGTCATGAAATTACCGAACTGCCCTACTGGCTTTAAGGGCGATCCCATGCTCCCGTCAAATCACGTATGGTGGAATGAGACATTTGGTAAGTGTCTGCTCATGAGTGGTCTCGAGAAGAGCATCTCTCCTTCGTTTACACCTATCTCTGCTCAAACCTTAACCCAGATCACTCCTGACGGATCCCAAGTGGTGGTCAACAAGGCCACTTCAACTCCTGCAGGTGATCAAGCAAAATCTGCCAAAGCTAATTCTACTCCTCCTCCTACTTAAACTTTTGTTGTAATGTTATTGTGAACCATGTTTGCTCCTTTTTTCTCCATAGAGGAATGAATGAATGTCTTCTTATGTTTCACTGTTGTTTGACTATCTGTAGTGATTGTTTATCGATCGCTTTGCATATTCTTCACGTGTTTAACCCAACAAGATTAAGTTTACACCAAAACTTACTCCCATACAAAAATATAATTGCACAAAACGTTTTACCAAAACCAAGCTGCGTACACCAAATTTAATGATCAATTATCGAATCAAATAACACATAGGCAATACATTTACGAACAAGCATATTCCAAATAAGCCTATATCAATCAACTTCTCCCCTTTCGTTTCTACAAGATGATTAATTTGATTAGAATGGTGATCAAGCATCCAACTCTAGGTTCAATTCAACTTGAATAGATTGAACGGTACAAGCACAAAATTCTAATATCCCAATCGAACCAGGACAAATATCCACTATCGCTAACGAAACGATTTAATTACTCATATTGATATCAATCACAACAAAAGATTCAATGCAATATTTCACATCCATAATCCAACGAAAGGAACTTACAATTGATCCAAGTCAACATACGAATTCAAATTACAAGCCAAGTCGTGTTCGTCTCGGAGTGTCACTCTACAAAATTGGAATCAAGCAAAAAACTAAGACAACCAGTGTTTGAATGAGAGAAAATTGATAAGAACAAAGTCTAGACTGTTTTTTTCAACCCTAGACATGAGTCCCAATAAAAGGGAATTAAAAAATGAGTTAAAATCCTACAAAAAATTCAATTTTAAATATCGATGTCGTGGGCGCAACACCCGTCATGAGTGCAACGGGTCTCGGTTACCGGGAAATCACAGACATGTCACTGGGCATGGGGCACGATGTCTAGCAGTGTTGCGGGGCGCGACGCTTATCGCGGATGCGATGTCTCACGCTACTCGCAGGTGCAAGGATAAAATGATGGTTGCAAAAGCTCACGATGAGCTGTCGGGTGTGAGACGACCAACCTCATCTCGGTTCTTAATGTCTCATCTCAATTATCGATGTTTTAGCCTGCTTTTAGGGTTCTATCGAAAATGGATAGCTAGTTTCGCATGTTTGGGTCCAACAACACTGCATGAGGCTTGAAAACCGGGACGGGTACCTCCATTTTCGTCTGAAATCCTCAACCACTGTGACTCTACATAACTCCAACCACCAAAGAACAAGAAAAACAAGATAACACGGAACAAAGGCAGGAAAAAAATAGAAAAACTAAAATAAAGTAGAAAAAATGAGAAACTGCAAGTGGGTGTTTGTCCTATTTTTGTTGCATTTTTCGTGTTTATCTTTATTTTTCCCCCGTTTTAGGTAGTTTCTTTCATTTCTAGTCTGTTTCGTGTTTTATTCTATGTTTTCCTTCATTTTGAGTCCTTAGGTGTTTTTCGTTTGTTTTTCCAGTTTTCTTCGTGTTTTGTCGTTTTTGGTGTGTAGGTCGGGAGCTTTGGGCGAATTTTCTCAACAGGAAAAATTGGTTTCGAGAGCATATTTGAATATAGGGTTTCGTTGGCAACGAATAGCAAAAAACGGAACTCAATTCCGAGTTCAAACGAGCCCAAACGAGCCCAAAACGTAAAGTGGTGCAGTAACAGCCCGAGTCGCGACTCGCGACATAAAAGTCGTGACTCGTGAGATCAAAGTCGCGACTCGTGAGATGAAACTCATGAATCGGGAGAAAAATATAGCCTGAAAGTGCAGTTCACGAGCACGAGTCGCGACTCGCGACATGAAAGTCGCGACTCACGAGTTATGTCGCGACCAACCCCAGATTTTGAAGATAAGGACGACGTGCGACTCGCGAGGAAGTTGCGACTCTCGACTAAGGAAACAAGGATGTCGTGACTCGCGACTTGACTACGCGAATTTGGAGTTGCGGGATTTTAACAGCAGATTTTGGACCTAGGGCAGATTATTCCATCCCCAAACCTTGTTTTCCTCAATTTTTTCTCTCCAAAAACTCAAGATTGTTAGGATAATTTTTCCACTTTTCTTTTTATTTTCTCATGCTTGGATTATTGGACACAAAGATATTTGGATTGAAATTTTACAGCTCTTAATCCGATGGTAAGTTTTTCAATTATATTTTATTATCGTTGATTGTTTTATGTTCTTAATTCCGGTTAACATGAAATTGAATCTAAGCATGAGGTAGTCCATTCACCTAGGGTTAGGGATTTTGATTCTTGTTTTGAATTATGAGGAATGTGTTTTGTTCAATCTATACGAGTTGTGTGAATTATAGGGTTAGTTGATTGATCACCATTCTAACCTAGTTATTCGACGTTTAGAACCGAGAGGGGAGACGTCGGTCGATTTGGACTCATATAGAGTAGACATGTTCGTAAAAGTATTGTCTATGTGTTTCTTGTTTGTTTCTTGTTTGAATGAGTTTATCGTTTATGTTTGTGCTCTTGTTACGAGGAGTTATTGAGCATAGCCTTCTAGACGTATAGGCTTGTTAAATCTGGTAACTGAACAAATAAGCGTTCAACATAGTTTATGACTTGATGAGATTTCCCGATCCCTAGAACTTTTTCTTTTCCTCTAGAAATTTAATTGTTATTTCTTTAAATTGCTTTTCTAGTTCTAGCTTGTTTTAGTTAATTCCCCAAATCAACCGTGATTAGTGTGTTTAGGACATATTTTCTTTTTGTGTGTGATCAAGACCCACGCTAAATTCCGAACCGTCTTCCTCGAGAGATCGACCCGGAGAACGAATCTTTTTATTCGGTACCCGGTAAAGAAATAAAATAATTTGCTACAACAAATTTGGCGCCGTTGCCGGGGAAGTAGGATATTTTATTTTGATGTTGATTTTATTTTGTGTTTCTCTTTCTTTTGTGTTTTTCGTGTTTGTGTTCTTCTTCTGCGTCTTTGTTTTTCTTTTTGCTTTTGTTTTTGTCTTCTCCTCCCCGCACATTGTCGAGTTACATTTCTGGGTACTAGCAGCAATGGAATTTGGCACCGGTTGAGCAGACCTATGAAATTCAGGAGCAGACCTCAGAGCATAATGAGAAGCTCAACTGGATTCTTACCTTTATAACAACTCGAGAAGAAGAGGCTGCATTCAACAAAAAACTTGATTTAATCCTCGATCGGATTATAGCCCAAGAAAACCGAGAAGAGGAGGTGGAGCTCAGATGTGCCAGTTTGAGCGAGCAATTGGAGAGTCTAGCAAGGCGCATCAACTCTATCAAATCACGAGACGATGAGCCCATGGTTGTGGACCACATCCGGCGCCCATACCTTTCGATGAGCTCGAGGATGACTCTTCGGGATACAATGCCAAACTTGATCTCATCCTTGATCGTATGATTGCCCAGGCAAACTGAGAAGGGGAGATTGAGCTCGGGTGTGCTCGACTGAGTGCTCAAGTAGAGAATCTAACAGCACGTCTTAACTCTATCGAGTCGAAAGTCGACGACCCCCATCTTATGGTTGGAGCCCAAACGTGTATTTCGATGCACATGTGTGAGACCGAAGAGAAAGATGATGCACTCCATCGAGACGTTGATGATATTTCAGAGGAGGAGATTCATGGACTTGATCAAGTACTCCACTTCACCATTTCTCAAGTCCCTCCTCCCACCACCGAGTTGGAGCATTCACCTTCGTAGCCGTTACACTGTGCTACCAAGTGGGCCGGTTTTAGCTCGACTTGCTCCACGGATGCGCTTATAATACCGGAGGTTGACGACAGAGCTCGGGTGGAAAAGGCTCTTTCTCAGTTCGTGGAGATTGTTCGTACCCACACCTGTTTCATTAAGAACATAGCCATCCGGATCCATCGTGTCTGCCTTCTTGCCACACTTCCGATGCTACCACTTCTACAGAATACGAAGGCGTGGCACGATCGTCACTTCTTTCTAGATCCCGATTGAGTTCCTCATGGGTTTCGTCAAGCTAATGACGTTAAACAAGCGTTTCTTGGGAGTCAACCCATGTTTTATCGCTCTCTTAGTTTTTTTCTTTTTGCTTTTTATTATTTATCTACGAAGAATTGGAGTTTTGGTGGTTTTCTTGGTAGGAACGAGTTCGAGAGCTCGAGCAGGGGAATACGAATGAACGTGAAAGATTTAGGTTCTGGGTTGAGCATGGGCGAAAGGCCTGCATGGGAATGCTTACTCCACTCGAAGTATCTTCGGTTTGCGTACCCTTTTCTCTTTTTATCTTTTTGTGTTGCTTCTTCCTTCTGTCCTTTCTTTTGAAATTTGGTGTTCTTGTGTCAGCTGCTAGGGTTCATTCTTTATGTGAAATTGCTTGGTCCTATTATTTGACTTCCTGATTTTGTGTTGAAGTAATGAGGACATTGCCTCATTTTTAAGTGTGGGGGAGTTTACGTGGATTTTGCATGTTTATGTGGTGGACTGGTCTACTGTAGGTTTTGTGTATCTTATGAGTATGGACTTTGGAATTTCAAGATTAGTTTAGACTTATTTGATGAATTCGATGAATTGTGATGTTGGTCATATGCGGCATAGCGTGATGAAATGCTTGGTTGATTGCTTTGATTAGCATTCATATATATACCTAGTGAGGTTTGAGCCTTATTTGTTTCTTGAGATACATTGGTCGTGCTCTTGTTTGATTAGAACTTGCCCGGAGTCTGCATTATAATAAATTGATTAGAATTGTGCACAATGTATATGATTAAGGCGTTTATTGTTTTATATCCCTTTTTTTCTCTACAAATTATTCCCTAGTCTCCCCTTTTGAGCCTTATTTGATTTTTGTTGATAATCTCGTGATGATGACGTTGTTGGAGTTGCGGGTTAAGAATTGGAGGGGATGTTTGTTGGAGTTGTGTTTATGTTCTTTATCAAAAAAATAAAAAAAATAAAAAAAAAATCGAAAGAAAAAAAAAGAGAGGAAAAAAATGTAGCCGAATGGATTAGAAAACAAAAAAAAAAAAGAAAAATGAAATAAGATGGGTGAAACGTGTGGTTTTAGGAGAAGTGTGGGGGATGATCCGGTATGTTTGAGCAAACCAGCTGCGTATATAATTCTGGGGTAAGATGTTTGAGTTATGAATTCGAGTCACTTAGTCTATATTTATCCTACCCGTCCAAAGAGCCTACATTACAACCTTGAAAGACCTTTTGATGCACTAGTTTCGATTTTGATTGGTTTAAAGTAGAAGTTAGACAATGGACAAGCATATGATTGAACTTGTTATCGACCAATTTGAGTTCACCTATCTTTATCTGTATAAGAATTCGAGTGAGGGACACATAGAATGTCAAGTCGAAGTATAGAGATCAAGCATGTAGTTGTGTAATGCTCGTATGTGCCATTTGAATGCTCATTGTTGAAGTTGAATGTTGACACTATCTAGTTACTGAATGTTGTCCATGCTCGGTTTGAGTTTTGTGTCTTTTCTTTTCCCTTCCTTTTTTTCGGGACAAATAAAGGCTTAAGTGTGGGGGAGTTGTTTGTCCCATTTTTGTTGCATTTTTCGTGTTTTGTTTATATTTCTTTTTCCCCCGTTTTAGGCCGTTTCTTTCGTTTTTAGTCCGTTTCGTGTTTTATTTTGTGTTTTCCTTCATTTTGAGTCCTTAGGTGCTTTTCGTTTATTTTTCCAGTTTTCTTCGTGTTTTGTCGTTTTTGTGTGTAGGTCGGGAGATTTGGGTGAATTTTCTCAACTGGAAATATTGGTTTCGAGAGCATAGTTGAATAGAGGGGTTCGTTGGTAACGCATAGAAAAAAACGGAACTCAATTCCAAATTCAAACGAGCCCGAAACGTAAAATGGCGCAGTGCAGCCCGAGTCGCAACTCGCAACTCATGAGATCAAAGTCGCGACTCGTGAGATAAAACGCCTGACTCTCGAGATGAAAGTCACGACTCTCGGGAAAAATAGAGCCTGAAGGTGCAGTTCGCGAGCACGAGTCGTGACTCATGAGTTATGTCGCGACCAACCCCAGATTTTGAAGATAAGGATGACGCACGACTCGCGACTTGACTACGTGAATTTCGAGTTTTGGGATTTTAACACCAGATTTTGGACCTAGGGCAGATTATTCCATCCCTAAAAAACTCAATATTGTTTAGGATAATTTTCTCACTTTACTTTTTATTTTCTCATGCTTGGATTGTTGGGCACAAAGATATTTGGATTGAAATCTTGCAACTCTTAATTTTA